ATTTCACAAATTTGATTGGTTGATATCACATGTATATCTTAATTTGATTAACCAATCATAAGAAAGTTATCCTATAAATTACAGGTGAGTAAATATATTGTATTGAGGCGATGTATATTCCTACTAATATTAATCAATATTTATAATAATCAACTTTATTAAATATTCAAATTGCAATAATGCAACAACTAAACAATAATCAAACAGATGATGATTCTAAAGCGATTGAATTTGATATAAACAAACAGTAAATGAAATTTGAGCCAATTAACAATAAGAACGTTTCTAGAAAAACAATCCTGTATCTCAAATTTGCATCATTTTATTCAACTTTTGAATTCATTTCTTTAAAATTTTTGGTAATGTTTCAAAATCTATTAAAATTTTCGTTAAAATATATTTAGGATAATCATTCGAGATTGTAAATATTTATTACTATACATATCATGAGAGTTTGTTGAAATACATGTTCATGATGATTTATAAATTATATTTTTATTGTACCCTGAATCAGGACAGTCCCGGATGAGAATATTCACCAAAAATAAAATTTTTTATTTAAACCTTAACGCCAACTCTAGCCCTAACCCTAAAATCCTAATTCTGCAAAAATAATTTACAAAATTCTCATCTGGGCGGCCCGATTCTGAATCGGGACAATTCCAATCTGGGGTACAACATTTTCATCTGAAAGTAAATTCTTTTTATTAAAATCTTGATCTGTAGTATAGTACTGTAGTATAGACGATACGAATAAGGTTTGCTGATCTTTAAAAAATCTGGTTTTATAATGTAAAGTGCAGATAACATTCATAAATACCAATTATTTGAAATAGATACGTAAATAAAATATCAAGTACCTTGATCATTATAGCTAAGTCGCGAATAAAAGATTACCTTATTTCCCTCAATTAATGAATGATTGTCATATTTAAAACGCAAATAAGAAATTACATAAGAAGCGAATAACTTACGTATTTTTAATAAATAATTATAAATTTATAATTAATTGGACTCAATTCTTAAAAAATCTAACAGGCCATAAACATTAAAAGTACGTACCATACGTACTACGTATTCATCTGCATAGAGTTTGGAACCGGTTTTATTCTTCATTTGTTAAAACCGATTAAATCCGGTTTTAACATATGAAAAATAAAACCGGCTCTAAACTCTATCATCTGCACAATAAAGTACAATTTATTGTATTCAATCATGCTATAAATTCGAACCTTCTACTGTAAGGTTTCTAGATTCATTCGAAATTCCCACACCTTTAATTTGAATAAAAAAAATAAAAAAAAATAAAAAAAAGAATTTTAAAAACAAAGCTTTCTCCTTCTCACGGTTGTCTTTCCTTGAGTAACAACAACACAATAACTACTAGTTATTTAATAGTAATGGTTGAAAATTATAAAATTGCCCTACTAAAATTTTAATTTTGAACCGCGTGAAAACAGATATTTGTGTATATTAAACAGAAACTTTGTTTAAAAAAAAATAATCATTATGTATAAGAATCTTCAACAATGGGTAAATGAATATAATATTCAAGCAAACCAGCTAAATTCCTCTCTTTATGGACGCACAACAATGGTTAGATCAAAAATATCCCAATAAACAAAAAGTCGAAAAAATTGCTCACCATAATTATTAAGAAAAGTCACTTATTGGTGATCTAATTATTAAGGATTTTCCTAAATTAAAAGCAGCATCTTTTATCGCTAATGGATATATGTTTAAACTAACAATAGATAAATTAACTAGAATGTATATTCCTGATAATCTATTAGAGGCCATTAAACTACCTGCTAATCCAGTGGGTTTAATTAAATTGTGCCCATATAATAATAAATTATCTTCACAAACTTACAAATACTATCACCTTTCGCTAAAAGAATAATAGTTACTGGAAGTATTTATTATGAATATTCAGCAAAAGATAAAGATCAATTAAAAGGTCTTTTATCAAAACAAGAAAGACAAACTATTGAAGCTTCTAGTTCTTCACCTATTAGTCATATTCAACCGAAAACAGAATTGGAAAAAACAATTACAAAAAGGACATTCCTTTTACAAAAAATTTTTTGATGATTATTTGCAAAATAAAAAAAGTGAATTAGCTAATCTAAAAAAGAAAATAAACGAAGAAGAAAATGGTCAGTTAGATATTTATCTTCAATTACAACAATCGACCGATAAAGATAAAATTCAAATGAAAAAGGTTAAAAGAAGGATACTTAAAAAATTAACTATTGAAGACTTGCAGAAAATTTTAAAAACGAACGAAAAGATTAATGAATTAGAAAAGCAAGTAAATGAAATTAAGTTAATAAACAGTTGAGGCTACTTCAACACTTGACTTGGTTCGTGATATTAAATTGGCTTTATATAAGTAAATTTAGGACTAGAGATACGATAAAAACTGTCACGGCTTACTATAACTGTTTCAACATAAATTTTAGATAGCTACAGCCTAAGTCGTAGTAGTTTCTATTGCATCTCTAACAAGGTCATAAAGTTTATGAAGAATGTAGTCATGCGATTTATAAGGATAAATTTATTTTTTATTTTTAATAACAGATAAAGGATAAATTGATAACATATTTTAACGAAATGTTAAAAATATAACGATAATAAAATAGGAATGTTGATACGTAAAAAAAAGTAGTATTGACAAAAAAAGTAATGTTGATAAAAAAAAAAAAAAGCAATGTTGATAAAAAAAAAATAAGGAAATATACATAATCGATCACATTGCGACACCATTTCAAACATCTCTTAGACTACTCAGGTGATTATATAGATAAAGCTTTTACACATACTTTTGTGAATATCTTTTTTACTGCTGCAAAATAAACGAATGTTTTTCTAACTTTCTAAGCTCTTTTTGTTTATTTAGCAGACTTTTTAGTTCCTCTTGGGTAAATTTGGTTTGCAAGAGAGTTCGACAAGTGGTCAATTGTCCCTGTAGCTGCCCTTGAACGAAGGAATCATTATTATTACCCTCATCTTCAGATTCGATAATTTGCTTATTGGTCTGTAAGAAGAGATCTAAAATAGATTTTAAACTATCACCTGCCTTATTTTTGGTTGTAGCCGTTAATTGTTCAAAGGTATTTTTTGCTCCTGAAAATAGGGATTGAAATCTTTCAATTTAAGTCTTTTAATTTCTTGTTTTAGTTTATTAAAATTAATTTCGCTATGACCCAAAGCTATATTATTTAGTTCCCGAAATTGATTGAGTGTAGGAGTTTGTTGAACTTTTTTGTTTAATTCGTCTATGATTTGATCTTTATTTCTGAGAGATTGTCTTAGTTCTATGATTTCGGCTCCTAATTGCTCCAGCTTTCTGTCTTCGACTAATAAATATGGTATTATGGCCTGTTCCCTCAAATATTTATACTTTTCAATCAATACTTCCCTTGAAGTGCCGTATTCGTTATAGCATGCGATTATCCTATTACTTTGCATTTCTTTAATTATCAAAATAAAATTATTATTATGAAAAAAAAGATTCCGTTGATAATCTCTATTCCCCTCTATCACTAATTTGCTTAATTTTTCATTTTTACTAAGGTCAATACTTTCTAAATGTTCCAATATAACATTATTTTGAAAAGTAATTTTTCTGAGATTGGGAAAAAGTTCCAAGTCTAATTCACCTTTTGGTTTTCCAGAATTAGAAAAAATATTGAGTACATCATTCGAAAAGGAAAAAGGGGTAGATTGACCTTTCTGAAAGATTATATGTCTTGTTCTTGTTTTTTGATTATTATTTAGACCATTAAATATTTCCTGTGCCATATTTTAAAATTCATTACGATTTTGATTTAACGATCTAAATACAGTACTCAATAAAGGCCCTTTATTTATTATACTTACAATGAAAGCTCATTTATAAAGCATCTAATCTAATCTTTACAACATACGTCATATGAATATGAATTGGCGTTCATTCAAACAATAATGATAATGCATGAAGCTAGAGCCTATGGATTTTAGTAGCATCTAAAATTGCACTAGTGATACTATGACAATCACATAAACAAATTCGACCTAACTGTTTTATATTAATTCTGCGCATATACTATTCCTATCGGATTTGGTTTGTGGTTGTCGTAATATTACTATTTAGATGCTACCGCTACTAGAATTCATTGGCTCTAACAGAAAGAAATATCTTGGTTTTGTCGATGGACTAAGTACGTACGTATAATTTATGATAATGTAAATTGTAAGCTTATCAATGAAGTGATGAAGCTATCAGGCTGTGTTTCCTTTTACGGTTTTGAATGTGATTATTTCGGGTAATTTTGGAGCATATGAAAATTTGAGAAAATATGATAAAGAGAGTATAACCGGTATACGGTATATAATTAATATTGCATAGACCTACATGCTTCAAAGAAGAATTTGGTTTTCCCAACATACATTACGTATATAATATGAGATTGACTTTGAATAAATAATTAATAAGCTAAAAAAAGTACGTGTGTACATATTTGTTGTAACAGGTAAATGATGTAAAATAGCATATCGATAGGGTGAATGGACAGGATCTATTTTACTATATGGCTAATATAAAAAGTTTTTTATAAATATATATACTGGCTCAATCCAAAAGTTTAAGATAATTTTGGGTACTTAGTGTATAAGCGCAAAAATATTTACGTCATTGACATCGCATCGAATTTATGAAATACCCTAAAAATTTGAAAAATTGACCAGGTTAAGGTGCGTCATTATAATAAATTTATATGTCTAATAGGAGTGGGAAGATAGGAACGACGCGTTATCAGTCTAGATCAGAGATTCAAAAAAAATTTTCGGGGTTTGGTATCGATTTATTAAAATGTAAATTGGTATCTAAGATTTACTTTGGGGTAAAAATACTCGGATTTGGTGACCAAATTTTAGCTAAATTTCATAAATTCACCGTGATGCATTCGTTACGAGTTTCAATTTCTGAAATTGAATCCCATATTGGTAAAGTGAAAGGCTAACAAGTTTTTGTTTTGTAACATTCATATCAATGCATAATATAGTATAGTTACAGTTAATATTGCATATACTCTATGTAGGTGCATTTCAGATATTTTGCACGTGACTTTGAATAATTATTAATTACATAGCCGAAACTAACGAGTCAGGTACATATTATGAAACCTAGGTCGGGAGACAAATTTGCTTCGGACGCAGCATAATCATGCAGTGTTATTGATGGATTCGGGTTTAATGATAGTTGGTCATTGAGGAGAGTAGAATCATTCTTTTTAACCTGCGGCCTTTCTACTTTTCATACGTTATCCTTCATCCACACTTTATTAATCAATCAGACATTCCCATCCTATATCCAATTTAGTTAGAACCCTTTAATGTAATGATCAAAAAAATGACGATCAAGTCATGAAACTTCCAATCACACGAAAAAATTATGCAACTACTGTATAACTTATTTAACAATATTTAAACATAACATCGTATTTTGGCGTATATTAAATATTTATATAAGAGTTTGCCCGGCTCATTTCCTTAAAAATCTGGTTCTAAACTCGTCAGTTAGGAACTAGTTGTACACAACACATCTATATATTACGTATATACAAATGCAGATAATTTTGGATTGCTAATTTTTGCTAAAGATCATTGATAAGAGATAATGATACGTATTATTTATTACTTATAAATGTTGTATATGTGGTATTGTTAGACAAATTACATAATTTTAAATTATGATGCTTCGTAATAAACTTTCATTCCCAAAATAAATAATTAAACAATTGCTTAAAAAAAATAAAATCAATAATTTGAAAATTAACATGTTAAAACTGATATTCGATCACTTAAATAGTGATAAAAAAAACAACAGTGGGGCATATACTGTATGTTTTCAGCAAGGTAATAAAAAACCTCTTTCGGGTGAAGTACTCAACAATTATGACTACATCCTGATTCCGGACAGGACTTTCTTTTTTTCTAACCTGAAAAATCACTTTTGGCGACGATGTTCGATTTAATACTTTAAAAAATATAACCTTAGTAAAATAACAAACTAAGCAAATTAGTGATAAAGGAGCAAAATTATAATCAACAGAATGATTTTTTCATAATTTATTTTGCTAATTAAAGAAATACAACTTAGTAGACCAATTTTATCACATAAAAAATATAAATTATGTGGATATACCTGTAGAAGTAACCAATTCGATGTCCTTTCTGGACAATATAGACTTGAACAATATGCGTTAACAAAAACAACAAAGTATTTAAAAGACCAAACTATTCTACTGCATTTTTTAGTTGAAGATAAAAAACTAGAACAATTAGAAGCCGAAGTTGAAAATTTAACGCAATCAATTATCAAAAAGGATCGAATCATAGACGATTTAAATGGAAAGGCACAACAAATTCCTACACTTAGTCAATTTCAAGAACTAAATAAACTAAAAACAATAAATTAAAAGACTTAAGCTGAAAGACTTTAATCCTTATTTTCGAGAGCAGAAAAGCAACTTTAAACAATTAACATCTATCGTTAAAATAAAGCGGGTGATAGTTTAGATGGCATTTTAGATCTTTTCTTGAAGGCCAACAAACAAATTATCGAATCTGAAAATAGGAACAGTAATTCTTTTGCTCAAGGGAAGCTAGAAGGACACTGACTACTTGCCAGACTCTTTGCAAATTAAATTTACTCCGGAAGAACCACAAAGCCTGCTAAATAAACAAAAAAAGCTTATGAATTTAGAAAAACAGTCTGTTATTTTGCAGTAAAGAGATATATAAAAATAATATTATTCGTAAGGGAAGAAAGGTTCAGGCCACAAAATAGCCTTAGTAGGTCACTAGTTATATCTGTACGTATTAGGAATTGTCATTAAAGCTTGTTTTCATATAAATGTTATTTTATTATCGTTATATTTTTTATCAATGATTAAAAGAGAAGAATAGTAGATTTATAGAGAATCACTTTCTTAATTACTTTTGAAGATATACTGTACTTGACCCCTTTCTGTCTATAAAACATTATAATTGATAAAATAATAATTATAAAAGTTTGTCGCTTTGAAATTATATGCCTCGTGTAACTTCTCATTGTAGAATCTCGATTTACAGCTATAAGAGACGTGAGAATTTTGGTCAAATATCTTCTATATAGATATTTTTTATAACCAGCCAATAATCTAAAGTTTGTTTAGCCACATTGACGCAATTTTTAGACTTTCCTTCGTTCCGGAATGCCTTTCGGTACCAATATTTCTCGAAACGAGGTAATTGAAAGAATTTACAGCATGGTGATAAGGCAATTCAAGAAAGTTGTATTTAGAGCTTAGAATAAAATATTGATGTTATACAATATTGAATAAAAGGTTTTAGTTTAAAACTTTTAAAGTATTAAATAAATTTATTTGATAGATTAGATACAAATTTTATTATATATATTATAAAAATAATTAGAATTAAATTATAAACTTTTTAATCTAAATTAAATACTGTATTATATTAAATTTTTATTTTAGAATATTACTAACTATATATATATAACCAATGGTAATTATTACTAAAGTACTTATATCTCAAAAATATACTAAGTAAACTAGATCAGGTATTCTAAATAAAAATGTTTGAAGTCTTCAAAAATTTTATAAAAACTAAATTTAAACCTTTATATTTAATCTATATTATATAAAAAAATTCTTTATAACTACACTCTAACTTTAAATATATTTAGAGATAGTAATAATTATTACTAACTATTTTAAGTATATTTTTTTATTTTAATTTAAAAATAAAAAAGTATATTTTAATAAATTTTTGAATAAGGCTATAAAACTTAATAATTTAGTTTTTATAACTTTGCTAGATTAGAACTTACAAATTTTTTTAAAAAAATTTTAAATATATTTATTATCTGTATGCTTTTTAAAAATAAAATTAAAAGCTGAGTTGCTAAGTTACTTTTAAAAAATTATAAAAACTAAATTAAGTTTATATAGCCTAATTATAAAAAATTTTAGTTAGCAAATTTGCTAGCTATATAGTATATTTGTAAATTATAAATTTTAATTAATTAATTAAATTAAACCAATTAGTATATTTTAAAAATAGCTATTTTTATTAAACTAATTTTTTATTTTTATTTATTTAATATATATATATATTTTAAAGGAATTGCTATTCACACTATGGTTTTTTGATATAGGAGAA